TGGCTAACACGGTGAAACTCCGTCTCTACTAAAAATACAAAAAATTAGTTGGGCGTGGTGGTGGACGCCTGTAGTCCCATCTACTCGGGAGGCTGAGGCAGGAGAATGTTCTGTTTAGCCGAGTGCGGTGGCTCACGCCTGTAATCCCAGCACTTTGGGAGGCCGAGGTGGGTGGATCACGAGGTCAGGAGATGGAGACCATCCTGGCTCACATCTAGATGTGTATAAGAGACAGCTTTCACTTTATCTTTCTACCATCTTACTGATTTTTAAAAAAAGATTTCAGCAATAAGAATGTTCTGTTTAGCCGAGTGCGGTGGCTCACGCCTGTAATCCCAGCACTTTGGGAGGCCGAGGTGGGTGGATCACTCTTATACACATCTAGATGTGTATAAGAGACAGGTAGAGGAGCTGATCTGTGCAGCTAAGCACCTTCTATCATAAATGCCAAATCAGAATTTGTAACATCTCTCGAGTTCTAATAATTAATCAATTGCTCATTCAACTATAGCTTTCTGTTTCTATATTCTAGTTGTGACAACCTCCTTTTTATCAATATGGTTTAACCTTATATTCAGGTATTTGTTGAACTCTCTAATTCAACATAATCTCCTGCATTCCCTTCAATTTTATATTTTAAATTTGTTTTTATTTTCCTATCCTTTAAAGAAGTACAAAAATTGACTCGACACAGTTGAGCCATGCATATAAGAAAGTGTCTGCTTGTTTAAGTCATACTTTAAGGACCATTTGGCTGGATGTAATATTTTTGGATTATACTTTCTTGCCCTCAAAACCTAGTAGAAAATTATTTCATTACTTTCCTGTCATTCCTTACTGTGCATTATTGTAGAGGAAATGTTCCACACCAGCCTGACTGTTGGTTTTTCTTGGGGAATCTACTATTCTTATGTGTTTGCTCTTGGATTTTTTCATATATACTTAAAATTTAAAATTGGTTCAGGATGTGTTCGCATGTGAGTCACTTTGAATGATTATATTTTTCTAAAACCTCTGGTGAGCCCTTTCCTTTTTCCTTTCTTACGTTCTTTTTCTTTTTCTTTCTTTCTTTTTTTTTTTTTTGGAAGCCGAGTCACTCTATCTAGCCCCTGCTGGAGTGCAGTGGCACCGTCTTGACTCAGGAAACAACAGGTGCTGGAGAGGATGTGGAGAAATAGGAACACTTTTACACTGTTGGTGGGACTGTAAACTAGTTCAACCATTGTGGAAGACAGTATGGCAATTCTTCAAAGATCTAGAACTAGAAATACCATTTGACCCAGCCATCCCATTACTGGGTATATACCCAAAGGATTATAAATCATGCTGCTATAAAGACACATGCACGTGTATGTTTATTGTGGCACTATTCACAATAGCAAAGACTCGGAACCAACCCAAATGTCCATCAACGATAGACTGGATTAAGAAAATGTGGCACATATACACCATGGAATACTATGCAGCCATAAAAAAGAATGAGTTCATGTCCTATTGTGGGGTGGGGGTAGGGGGGAGGGATATCATTAGGAGATATACCTAATGTAAATGATGAGTTAATGGGTGCAGCACACCAACATGGCACATGTATACATATGTAACAAACATGCACATTGTGCACGTGTACCCTAGAACATAAAGTATAATAATATTTTTTAAAAAAACAACAAACAACGAAATACCCAAGTTCAACTCTCACCTCTTCTACCTTCTGGTGGTATGGCCTTTCTCAGAATAATTAAATGCACCATGTTATATTATCACCCCTCTTCTCTTATTCTTGACTTCCCTGTTAGTCTCTTGAGAATTGCTTTCTCCAGTTGTTTATGAGATACAGTCTGCAGAGCAATGTCTCAGCTGCCTCAAAAAGCAGAAGTCCAAAGTAGAAGGACAAGTGTTATGTTCTTTGACTAGTAGTATCCTTGGGTTTCTGTGAATTATTTGGATATTAGGAAAAAGTCCTCTCAGGATATAGTAATTCACTGGATGATTATCTTTTAAACATTTTTAGAAGTGCTTATCTTTCTTGGCGTTATCACATAGCTTGTATTAGAGTTAATATCTTTCTGGGGGATCAGATGCCATTTTAATTAGAAGTCGGAGCATGAATTCTTTTAAGATTATTTTTAAGTCAAGGTCTAGCTATGCAGCCCTGGCTCAAGCTCAGTGGCATGACTGCAGCTGACTGTAGTTTGAACTCTCGAGTCAGGCAGTCCTCTTTCTCAGCCTCCTGAGTAGCTGGGACTGCAAGTACGCTACAACACCTGGCTATTTTTTGTTTTTAGACCAGGTCTCACTCTATCGCCAGGCTAGAGTGCAGTGGCACAATCTCAGGTCACCGCAATCTCTGCCTCCCAGATTCAAGTCATTCTCCTGCCTCAGCCTTTCAAGGAGCTGGGACCACAGGCACTTGTCACCACATCCAGCTAATATTTGTATTTTTAGTGGAGACGGGGTTTCACCATGTTGGCCAGGATGGTCTCGATCCATCTGCATCAGCCTCCCAACTGGCTAATTTTTAAACTTTTTATTTTTAGAGACAGGGTCTTGCTATGGCATTACGATGTCCAAGCTAGTCTAAGGCTTTTGATAAGTATAATTAAAGTATCCACTGTCAATATTTTCTTTGCGAATTAAATAGCTTAATATAGCTTATTATTTTAGTTTGTATTTCTTTGTTATTGAGACTATTTTTTCATATGCTAAATGTTATAAAACAAGTTCTACCTTTGTATTTATTTTATTTCTCCATTTTTCTGTTTGCATGTTCACCATTTTCCTATTGATTGGTAAGTGCCCTTTAAATTAACATATAGTGAAATTGACTTTTTGGGGTGTATTAATTCATTTTCATATTGCTGATAAAGACATGCCCGAGACTGGGAAGAAAAAGAGGTTTTATTGGACCTACAGTTCCATTTGGCTGGGGAAGTCTCAGAATCATGGCAGGAGGCGAAAGGCACTTCTTACATGGCAGCAGGGAAGAATGAGGAAGAAGTAAAAGCAGAAACCCCTGATAAACCCATCAGATCTTGTGAGTCTTATCAACTACCATGAGAACAGCATGAGAAAGACCAGCTACAGTCAACAGAACTGAAATAGTAAGTTTGATGAGGCTGTGAAGAAATTGGAATCCTTGTTCATTGCTGGTTCTTTGCTAGTGGGAATGTAAAATGGTTCGGCTGCGGTGGAGAACAGTTTGGCAGTTTCTTTAAAAAGTTGAACATGCAATTATCATATGACCCAGTGCTTCCACTTCTGGGTAAATATTCAAAAGAATTGAAAACAGGTATTCAAAAAAATTTATATTTGAATGTTCATAGTAGCACTATTCACAATAGCAAAAAGGTAGAAACAATTCAAATGTCTGCTAGCTGATGATGTGTTATATCCATACAATGGAATATTATTCAACCATAAAAAGAAGCGAAAGCACTACTACATACTACAGTATGGAAAGACCTCAAAAACATGCTAAGTGAGAAATTAGACACAAAAGGCCACATATTGCATGATTCCCTTTATATGAAATGTCCAAAACTGGCATATCCATAGAGACAGAAAGCACGTTAGTGGTGGTCAGGAATGCTTAATGAATGTGGGGTATCCTTTTGGGGTGTTGAACGTGTTTTGGGGCAGATAGAGATGAGGTTGCACAACACTGTGAATTCATTGACTAGATGTCAATGAATTATCCGCTTTAAAATGGCAAAAACTGTGAATCATGTGATATGTGAGCTGTACCTCAATTAAAACGTTTTAATAGCAGTTTTAAAGGGTGCTCTTCATTTCCTGTTTTTCAGCCCTTTAGCTTTGTTGCAATAGATTGAGTAAAAGTTTGAACTGTTCTCAATTTATGTTTTTTGTTGTTGTTGTTGTTGTTTCTTTGCTTGTTTTGGTTTGTTTGTTTTCTTTTGTGGTCAAGACAAACCAGAGATTCATAATATTTAGTTAAGGAGATGTTTTATTTAGTCTGACTTTAAAAGATTATTTTAAACATTTTTCAGAATAAATTATCACTGCTTTGCTTTATAATCTAGGATTTTAGAGCTCAAAAATTTGTGTATTAAAAGAGCAGAACAAAACTATCCCCAATGAGGAAGCAGGATTCTTTCTTGGCTGAATCCCATGGCTCACTCTAATCATGCATAGCATGGCCTCCCAGTCACGATGAGCTCTGAGCATAGCCCTCAATGTTCACAAGAGGATATCCTTAGATCTGATTGTGTACAAGATGTTTGTTTGAGGTCCTGCACATCTGACTTTCTGGCCAGCAATTTGCCACCACTGCAAATTTGAAAGGGAAACAAGCAGAGGGACACTCATGTGACTGGCACTCAGCCCAGTCATACTTATCAGAACTGAGAGATCATTACTGTGACTTTGGCTCCAAACCCATGGGTGAATCCACCACCCTAGTGAGCCAGGCTGGACCATGTGTGAGTTACTGGGGTGGCCTTTGCATCTCTGACCTAAGGCCTGTTTGATCTCATGGGCACAGTGAACTTTGTAACTTAAAGCTTTTTTCCCTCCTTTTCTCACTTACTACAGAAACATGTATTTAAATATTTTTACCAAGAAATAGACTTTTTTGGAGTATGTTTTGTGCACTGCCCTGACTTCTAATTTAATCTTTCTTCCTAATTCATGTACACTGGTATGTCTTTTCTCCTCCCTCCCCCTTCCTTTCATTTAAGAAAACGAATATATTTCATTTAACTTTCTGTAGGGTGCATGTATTTTTAAGTTGTTGTAACTCACATTGGGAATAAGGCATGGGCCAAAGATAAAGTCTGGATAAAATCCATTTTTCTATTACCTCAAAAGAGAGTAGTACAGATTGTGGTCCTCCCACTTGTTCCCTTACACACACACATACACATACACACACATGCAGATGCACACACATACACACACATGCCTACACATGTTATACTGGAGAGCACAGTCCAATGCCCACTGTCTCCAGAGTGAGGCCCTCTCGTTACCCAAACCACTCTCTAATGTTTTAATTCAGAGCTTGTCATCAGAACTCGACTCAGAGCTGCCTTCACATCCTTGTTCCGCAGACTGTATATGAGAGGATTCAACATGGGGGTCGCCACAGTATAAAAGAGCACCACTACCTTTTCCTGCTCAGCTGAGGCCATGGAACGAGGCTGCATGTAGGTGAAGAGGGCCATCCCATAGGATATTGAGACCACAGTGAGGTGGGAGGCACAGGTCCCGAAGGCCTTGCGGCGTCCCTGGGTGGAGCGGATCCGCAGGATGGCAACTATGATGTGGGTGTAGGACAGTGAGACCAGGCAGCCGGGCACCAGCAGCACCACCACACTGGAGGCCACTATGACCACCTGATTGAAGGTGACGTCCACGCAGGCCAACCTGACCAGTGCCAGTGTCTCACAGGCCACATGGTTCAACACGTTGTGCCCACAGGTGGGCAGGTGCATGGTCAGTGCCGTCTCCATAGCAGAATTAGCCAGGCCCACTAGCCAAGAGACAGCTGCCAGTGCCACGCAGAGCCTTGGCCTCATCACTGCTATGTAACACAGGGGGTCGCAGACAGCCACATAGCGGTCATAGGCCATTGCGGCTAGCAGCAAAAACTCAGTCCCTCCGAGGGCCAGGGAGAAAAAGAGCTGGGTCCCACATTGGGCAAAGGAGATGGTCTTCTTCTCCAGGAGGAAGTGCACCAGCATCTGAGGGACCCCGCTGGAGGTGTAGCAGATGTCCACAAGTGAGAGGTGGCAGAGGAAGAAATACATGGGCAGGTGGAGTCTCACGTCCAGCCAGATCAGGAGCAGGATGAGCCCATTGCCCAGCAGGGTCAGCAGGTAGGTGGCCCCAAATAAGACAAAGAGTCCAGCCTGGGTTTGCCTGTCACTGGAGAGACCCATTAGGATGAACTCACTCACCCAGGTTACGTTGTCCCTTCCCAGTTGGGACATTGAACCTCACTTCTTCAATCTAGGTGGTTAGGAGGGAATGCAAAGGTCTTGGCGGAAAGGACATTTGGATTCTGACACTAAACCAAATTCTGAGAGATTCTGAAGGACAAAGTCCCCGTTTTGGCCATCCTTTCACGTCTAGGACTGAGCAGTTACAGTTGTGTACGAGGTAATCTATCAATGTAGAAAGAATGATAGAGAAGAAAGGATGAGAGAAGGAAAGAAAAACTAAGGAAAGACAATAGAAAAATGGAAAAGGAGGGAAGGAATATGGAAGATAGGAAAGAAAGGAAGGATTCTTCACCGTGGGGTAGCAGTGGGTAAAGTATTGTAATCAGACACTTGAGAACCATAGGGATGTCCTGGACTTTCTCAGCTCATTTCTTAACTCTGGATTGGGCTGCTCTTCATGCTTCTTCTAGGGCCTACCAAGTCCAGACAGGAATCCTCTCACATCCTTTTCATTTCTCCCACAAGTCCAGATAAAGCTGTAGTCCTTGAAACCAATATCTACTAATCCCCAGCTGGTGTGCCAGGGTCTGTGCCAGGCATTGGTTACCTGCCTGTGAGCAAGAAAGATAGAAACATGGGCCCTTGTTTTCTTGGTTCTTATAAATTTATCTAGGGACACACAGATTACAGCCATAATTACAAACAATTAATTAAGTATAATTGTACTAAGTGCTATGAAGGAGAAGAA